ATGATGTTTGGCAAAATACCCAATTTTGATACTGAATAACTTATGAAGATAAACGTTGTTGAAGTAGCATTGAATCAAATTCGTGCTTTTTTCTATCTTGGACTGAAGTTTGTGCCTTTGAAACGCCGTAACTGTAACGTTGAAAATAGCACTGCAAGCAACTGAAAAGCCAGCACAACAATGTAACAATTTGTAAACTGTTTCACTCGAGGATTGCGAAACACATTTTTGCAACTTTATTTCATGGTGTTGTCGTCTCTTTTGTCGCTAAACCTCACAAATTGATATTCGAACGGTGTGATAGAGACAGACATAAATTTCACACGTCCTGCGAGATCGCTACGTGCAAACTCAGCATTATTTCAGTAGGGCTGTCATATTATTACAATTTTTAAACGTAGGGAGAGTTAATTTTGGCATTTGTCATACATAACGGTCTACGGTGTACTTATATTTACATTTAAATTCAGTATTTGATTATTTCAATGGGACGCTAAATTTACTAATTACATAATTAGGTCACTTAGAAGAACCGCCATTTATGAATTAATGGTGTGGACTGAGACGTTTTTAGGAAATCGTACGGAGATAGTGGTACACAACCATTCACTGATTGCTCTCAGAGATTTTAAATGATTACGCTGACCTCTTTTTAGTGAATGTGAGAGCAGATTCTATTCTTATGTAGGTTAGTATGGTACGATAATCCGCGGCCACAAACTTCTTATTTCGTATTTATTAGCTGTATGGACTGCTCAGTAAGCTTAAATCCCATAGAGCATGTTTGGTACGCGCTAGAGAGATTTTAGATTTAGTTAGTTAGACAACGCTAATGGAAGTATTGTTAAAATCTTTTTGAAAATTTGAAAATTAATAGAATGCCACATTATCTTAATTAAGTTACCTAAATAAAAAGAAAGACACGTTTGTGGGCAAAACTACGATACGTTATTTTTTAATAACAAGTTGTAAATTTTTTTTAATATATTTTTTAATTTTAATATGAAACAGAATATGAAAAATATTACATTACATAGAATTAATTACACGAATCAATCTCATGCATTTCCTTAAATTTAAATGGGTCACTTAAAACAGTGATACATAAGGACCCGTTATTTCGCATACCTACGTAATCTACCTGAACAAGTCCTATTCAATTTTAAGTGTTTCATGTAATTATTTCGTACTGTACTTACGTATATATATTAATGAAATGATATATCCGTACCATAATATCTATCTATTCATCTGCAAAGATATTAATAGGGAACCACGTCATAAATCAACAGTTACTTATCATTCACACACCGTCAATAATTGCCACACTAGGTCGAATGGTTTATATAAACATGAAACATAGTATCTCATTAAGAGCAGTAATTACATTAAATCACTTTGATACGTAGCTTGTCTCGTTTGCCACTTGCTAGTGAGAAAATTATTCATGACTGATAATTTGGCGCCTCGGGACAGCCCTATGAACATGCTTCGTGTCTATCTTTTACCGCTAAGCCTAGGGCGGTGAACGCGGCTCAACTTCGATAGCGACGCACCGAGAGAGACAACACTAAGCGGAAAACTCAAGCTAAAGATAAGGACGCAACAATCTCCTTAAATTTTATATTCTATCCGCATTTTGTCGCCTAAGCGTTCCATTTAGTGTTCCATATTTAAACCTCGCGCCGTTCTTTTTTCTTCTCGACTGAGCGGAGAATGTAGGCGATTTTCTATTTTATTTTTTATTTTTGGGGGTGTACCCAGCCAGCGGTGAATGTGTGCAGAATACTGATGTGTGCGTGCGACCGCCGACGCCCTGTTAGGGAATGAAATTGGCATATAAATGTAAATTTTATGCTATGAATTTTAAAATGAAGTCGATATTTCCACGCTCTCTGTACACCAAGAGGCTCTTTCGCAAGTTTTAAATAGAAGAAATTAGATTATAAAAGCCATTTTTGGCTAAAAATGAGCTTTAAGCGATTTTTTTAACGCACATTGGATGATTATTTTTCTCTATGACTCTCTATGTCTCATGGTTACCATTTTTCAACATTTACTACAACAATTACAATGTTACGAAGGGTTCAAACTTTTACAAAAGCTAAGTCAAAAACTGTTTGTTCTTTGCTTACAGTATGAACTGTCTCCTGATAATGAGCCATTCCACAACGTAAAAAAAATCACAGTAACTTTAAGACAACGTGAAATATACGAGTATTTCCTGCTAAAATGGAAATGCTTTGGGGAAAGAAATAGGAATCAAAGAAGAGGAAAAAATCCACTTTAGAGACGCAAACAAGTCACTTTAACTTTATTGAGCTGTAATCGAATTGTGACGTCCCTGCGAGCCGAAGCGCGCTCGAGGTCGGAGCGTCGGGATCTGCAGCCATCCTTATCTGACCTGCCCATTTAAATCTATGCTATTCAATCGTGCCGTCTCACTCGTGTCCCAGGGGTGCCGGCGAGATTGCAATCTTTTGATTTATACCAACTATTAGGAGTGGTGCGGGATAGTCTGTCTCTCGGAACGAGATCCGCTGTGATAGCGCTGGATAGTACTGATTATAGAAATGAATTTACTTCCAACTTATCTCGGAAGAAAAAGTTATATTTTCATTTATGGCCTTCATGAATTGATAACTTGATACTATCTAAGCTATAAAATCTAATATTCTGTTGTTATTCTTAGTCGCTGCTTCTGAACAGGCTTTATGGATTTGCCTTTTGCCAAAAACACTTCTTAAATTAAATTCAAAGTAAACGATATGTTTACGTTCGATTTAGTTTTGCATTATCCGCATCTCCCAGATTTTCCGGAAAACAGAATTTATGAAAAAATATATTATCTCAGGTTGGGTATTACTTGGGCTCCTAAAGGTTGCATAAAAAGCTGCGGCCGGTGGGCAGGTCCCCGAAGGCCGCTTAGCCTGGCAGGCCCGGGAAAAATAAGGTAAATCGTTCCTCATTTATATTGAACAGAAACCTTCAGCTTTGTACGCCTGGTGCGCACGATAAGTATAATAGAATTTATATTTCCAAAATATTTTTTTTACAATTTAGAACTCCCGTATGCAAAACGCATAAGTGTTTGGTAAGTATATTGACATTTTGTTTACAACCTTTTCGGTTGGAAGTGATTACGTCACCAAAGTATCTAGACATAATATTCATCATCATGACTTGAACTATCATGTATATCCCACAGCTGGGAACAGGTCGTAACTAATGATAATGAAAGGTGTCATTCGCAAGTTTTTTAAAGGTTTTAGGCCCTTTCGACATTCAGGTTTTATCACGCAGGTCTTATTTCAGACGCATTGCACGAATCATTTACGATTTTATTTAAAAATGTCCTCGTTGGCCCAATGGTTCCCATTACGGGTGCTGGTCCCGGGTTCGATTCCCGGTTGGACATATTTGGGAAATGAAATTTTCTAAATTGGTGCTTGTGAATTCTTGTGTGGTGAATTCTTTTTTTTATGATTTCAAGTGACGGGGAGGGCAAGTCGTGTGCTTGGTGGTAAGCGACACGCCTGTCTGAATATAGGTTTTTATTGGCGCCAATATTTCAAAATTGCAAAAATATATTTTGACCGCAAATTATTATTAAATGCCGATTTTCAGTCGAATTAGAGCAAATTTTTATCTGCCGCTGCATACAAGCGTTTATGAGTAATATTACGCCATTGCCATCCATACCCATTGTTAAAAATATAGAATAGGTTGAAAGTTAGTAATACATATTAATCCTTTTTATATACTGGATACAAATATATATTACAATTACAACAATTTATCATTAATAAAATGAAATCACAAATAGGAATAACAAATATTCACAAGAACTTAAACATAACTTTCATCGTGTTCACTTCCTACGAGCAGCTAATTCGCCGCAGGCAGTTAATATAGGATATATTAAGCCCCTCGTAAAAGTGGTCTTACAAAGGAAATTAAGACGTTAAGTGTGAAGGCGCAGTGAAGCATCTTCATGTGTTCCTAATAACAATATTTAATATCCGCCAACTTCACAAAGGCTTTGTTTAACTGCTGACAATAAAATGATGGTCATTTTCTTAGAGTCGTTTTGTGACTATGCATTTCCTCTTGCTTGTTGTTAAATTATATGTTAAAGTCGTTATAGCAAGTATGGGATACCGTACACATGGGCGTACTCATATATAGATTTTATACGAGTAAATTATTGTTAAAAAGATTACTTAATCAAAAACTACTCACGTATTAATGTGAGATCTAATTTTATACTGTAGAACTGTTTGCGGCTTACGTTAAACAGTAACATGAAAAGTGTAACAAAAAATCCTATATACACAGAAATAATATCTACCCTATGAAATATTTACACTATGACAAATTAGCACCTACGAGAAACTGTGACCGATTGGCCACGGAACTAACCGGCGGCATTGCGGATTGATCTTTACTCTCGCTAAAATAGAAGCTTACGACGGCGAGCGTTTACCTCTGACTGTCGTAAAGGCTAATTTTGACTCTGGGTTTCGAGGATAAATTTAATCGATTACGAAGTGGATTACTTTTAATATTGTTCGCATATTAAATTTACCATTTATAAAAGTTACGTTCACTAAAATACCAGACCAACAATAAATGGATGAAATTAGCTCCCTGTGGTAGGGTTCATATGCTAAGATAGTTGCCGGTCTTGGCTTAGTATCACTGCTTTCTTTTGCGATTACACGTTATTGAATTTTAATAGCAGTAGAACTCCTTGTGAAACAGTTCGTCCAGGAAAGTTATATCACCTAACCTACTTTTTTACCTTTGCACCCTTACCCTTCCAAACCGGAGCTCAGTAATGCTCATATTACTTCTTGGCGGCAGAAATAGGTAAGGTAGTACTTCCCTGACGAACTCTTTCACAAGGAGCTCTACTGCTCTAAAACATTTCTTCTTCCTTATGTTTGTAGAATCATTATATACTATATACACATTGTAGTTAATGCAGGAGTACTTACAGCTACTCTGCTCTCTTTGAGGTCGAGTCGCATCGCCAGTGCTTCTCTCATGAACACGTCAGGGTAATGCGAGGCGAGAAAGGCTCGTTCCAGCTCCTCTAGTTGCCAGGAATTGAAGTTAGTGCGTGACCGACGTCTCTTGCCACTGTCACCGTCGTCATCGCCTACACCACCTACAGAGAAAAAAAAGAGAAATATAGCGCTGTTTTATAAACCAAGTCAACAGACATGCAGTCAGTCAGACTATAAAATGACAATCTACAAAAATTAGTTTTCAACTCTCCAGCAATAAAGAATCAAATGAAGGTTTATATTCTCCCAACTTTAAACATTTCCAATCGGCAATCACCCACCTTTGTTGAGCCACAAGATTGAAATGAATAAGACATAATCATAAAAGACACCGGCAGCTAACAAAGTCAATTTGGACAATTCCTGAGCCGTTAAAACAAAGCCGCGACCAGGGGCTCATAAAAAAGAGATAATCTCCGACAAAGCGTCGGAACAAGTTTTTGAAAATAGAATATAATTTCTAATTTTCTCTCGGTGATTTTAATTAAAAATGGTCCCGGGAGAGAGACGGCTACATGGAGCCGAGCCCGGGGTTGGAAAGGGACAGCTATAAATTACTCGGTCTACCCTCATAGGGGCTAAATAAATTAGAAGTAATTAAGAGGAGCCCGCTTCTGTTTTTTGAATATACATATACCGGTGGTTTGTAACTTTGATGATATTGTGATTTGCTTTTAAGAACCTTTGACATTAATCATTCTATCATAATTTTAATAATTACTGCGTATCTATAACTTGTAGAGGTAATAGACGTCCAAACTACATTTTTAAGTTTTTGACGTGGCATCTAAACGAGCTTATTAACATTGCAGACTGTAAAATTTCGAATGACACTAACAATGGTTCGTTTATACGAAGTTAATTTATAGCTCAGAGCTTGTTATTGTTCCGTTATGATAGATGTGATGCGATGTCGCCTTAAGAGGAGTCGTAAATTACGTGGGTGCGAGGAGGACAGATATAGGCGTCTAATGAGGGGAGTGAAAGAGATGAGTACGGTTATTGTATTAAAACAAACGACCGCCTTGGGCCCGCAGACAACAGTTTTGGCGCGCTTTAATTTAGTCTGTTCAATGTTTTAATGCCACAAGGGAGACGCGGGGTAGTGGGACGGGGGTGAAGGGGTGGCGGGACTTACTAAGTATCTATTTGAGGGCTGTATAGGGCGGTTAATAAATTCGTACAGTTAATAATTCTACTCCGTTCTGGCTGTTTTATTATGACGGCGCTAGAGATAACAGTTGGTTGTCAAACTAAATGAAAATAAAAATGATTTTCTGTCGTAGACGGGTTACCTCATTTATAGTAGAACCACGTGCTTGGAAGCAAAACTACGCTTTGGCATAAAATGCATTTGTTGGATCGAGCTTACATTCAAATAAAATTATAGATTCAAATAAACATTTATTTACAATTATTTAAATTATCCATTTGAAAATTCACTCAAGGATGTAGAACAACAAAGCTATATCAACAATTTTATTGGTTACGAAAATATTTACTGAAACTTTACAAACTCTATACTTGCCTTGCCATTGAAAAAAACAGAAACTCAGAACAAAACTCCCGTCCACATATGTATTGTCTGTAGCCACTACATTGCAAACCAAATCAGACAATATGAGACAAAAGAAAAACCTTTAGCGCAACGTGGTGATAGTAACTACTACTGCACTATCCCGCATTCGAGGGAAGATAATATTTTTATTTTATTCATAGAGAGACTATCGCACATATCCAGTCTGATTAAATGCTCTTTTATTCAATAAATTCAATTTTATTTGCTACGCCTTTTACATTTCTATTAAGGAGTAGAAATGGGGAGTTATTATGGGTACATAGAGTTCTGTTTCAAACTAATATTGTAAATGCGAAAGTAATACTGTTTATTACGTTTTCACGCCTAAATCGCTGAACCAATGTTGATGAATTTTAGAATAGAGATAAATGGGACCTTGGAGAAGAACTTATTACAAAAATAGATCTTAAAGGGTTTCAAATAGGGGACGAAACTTTGTATGGAGGACCAATAAAACTATGAAAATTAGTATTATACAGTAAGTCACTCGGAGTATTTATTCTAGGCAGACGACGTCGCGGGCACCAGCTCGTACACAATAACATGTAAAGCATATTGAGACGCTGTTATTATTAATTAATAACAATAACGCACACATTTATAGCCCCGCACTTATAATCCTGTATCGAGGGTGCCAAGGACTGGATACAAATATAGACAACCACAAATTACACCCAAATTCACGAAAGAAATGAATGTAGGCCATGCAAATATTTCTCCCGGCCCGGGAATTGGATACGGGACCTCTGCGTTTCAGTCCAGCATGGTAACCGTTCGGCCACAGAGGCAGTTGAATTAATTTAATTGTTTACGAATACCAACTAGCGCAAGTTTGGATAAGCAAACATTTTTCGCCTGTCCTGCTATCAAAGTAATGTAATGTATCAAACCAATGAAGCAATTAGTTTAAAACTTTTCCTACCACTCTCACGGCTTATAAAGTCTAAATATTAAGAAGCGAAAATAAACTCTATTAATAGAAATATTTCTATAATAAAAAATTCTAACTCGAATTCTTTTGTATAGGTTTTTGTAAGTAGGATCGTAAAATTCCCGTCCCTGTCTTCTTGTTGCAAACAATCACGAAGTACACCAGTGTTGCCAATTGCCATCTCGTATCGAAATATAAGTCATAGGACAATTTATTTATAGCGAATATTCAGAGATGCTATCTAAATGTGCATTTTGTTGCATTGTCTTTTCCGAACTTTGGCAAAACAGTTGAATTATGAACAGTATCTTTCAACGTATGAACCAAAATATATCTCTCTATGTTTATTGTACTATCTAGTCAAAATACTATACATATTAACTGTGTACTGGTAGTAATAATAAGGTTTGACCATATTTGCAGCTAAGGATCGTTAATATGATTTTTTTTTGCATAGGTAGCAATAAATTTTAAGATCCTAGTAAAGATTATTCTTTGCATAGATTTTGTAAAGGGCAGTAAAAATATTTTTGGATTTGTTTTTTGAATATTATCAAGTACGAGTACGATAATGCCTTATATATATATATACGCAAAAAATATTGTATTTATACAGGTGTAACAAAAAGGTTGGACCATATTTTAGTTGAGGGGGTCCAACCTTTTTGTTACACCTGTACAAAATACAATATTTTTTGCGTACATATATAAGGCATTTTAGTAGACGTTCATTGTTGATTAAAATGTTAATTCTTCGATTTAAACAGCATACTACGTTTCAGTAAATATGGTACTTCAAGAAGGGCTTAAATAATTATATCGTAACACTGGTCGTAACTTGCAAATGATATCGACTCAATTACAAGAAAAGTCGTATCCAGGGCATCGCATGAAAATCGCTGCGTAATCAAAATATTGGCAGACCAACGTATTGCTTTATAATTTCATTATTCTGAGAATCAATTGATCGCCGATCGGGGGACGGACTCGGGTGTAAAGTTTTGTATATTTCCTCGTAATAAGATACCATTGTAACGACCTATTTGAAGCCAGTGAAATACGACGCTTCGTAATTTCGGCTCTACCTAAATTTTCACACCACTTAATAAGTCGGTCGACAGTCAACTGTCATTTTCCAGAAATAAATTAAATACGTAGATGGTTCTCAGCGAAAGTGTAAAGATTGGTTTATTGGAAATGAATTATTGGTGTGATTATTATTGATACCGTGGTGGTATAAGTGTGATGACTACATGTAAATTTGAGACAACAATGTCTCGGAGCCAAAACTGTATAAGGCTCGTTTTACATTAAAGTCACTTTGAATAAGTGCTTTTTGTATGGTTTTATAACACATTTTTTATGAGTTTATTACGAAAAGTTATTGAAATGTTAATTGTAACATCATTTATCAGTAACCGGTGGGTTGGCAAGCCTCTTTGAATAACAAAACCGCAGCCTGGAGGCAGGTCGGCACGAACACGAAATGCCTAGACGTGCCGTCAATTAGTCCACTCGGTCCGCTCGTCCCTATAGGTGCGTTTCATTATAAATAAACTTTGTAAAGTACAAAGTACATACTTTGTAAAGTAGGTGCGGAAATAGTATTACGAAATTTCGAAATTGGTAAATAAAAACTAGGCAATGGAGCTAAACTATACTGCTGAAGTACCACCTACTTATAAATACTTTAAACCGAGACGTACCCAAGTACACATTTATGTATAAATGTAATTTGTATAATTAATTTCCTTTTGCGAGATTTAAACGAATACAAACATAAAAACTGTATAAAAATTCCCAACATGACACTCCGTGCGTTCCTTTAGGCTGGCTGTCTCGACGCGGCCCGTGTCGGTCCCCGCCTATAATTTCGCTCGATCCCTGGAAATTAATTTCCGAAATCACTGGCAATAATAAAGTTATAATTTTGAACTCAATAGGTACATACCTGCCCGCGAGGACAGGCACGAGTGACAGGGACGGATTTGGGAAGGCCAAGCGATCAAGTTTTCTTGCACCAAAAATAATATATTTTTTAAAGGTTTTGATATTTAAACAGTTTTGTAACTGTAGGGCTCTTTGTGAAAGAGTTCGTTCAAGGCAGACTGCCATGTTACGCATAAATTACAGGCTCAAGGGGCTTGTCAACTTCAGTCTCTGGATGGCGGGTGTTGTGCAGTACCTCTCAGATCTTTTCGATATAAAGCTCTGTGCGGCACTGCAACTGTTACAGACAAGAGTATTGCTTACTAACAGGTGCACAACTTGTCCGTCATGTCACTTGGTATCGTAAAAAAAAACCTATATTACTTTTACAGTAAAGAAGGGTCGTGTGGTTATCGTATATCTATATCTGAATCAACATTTACGTTCCGCTCTTGGGTTCGAATTTATTCATAGGAGAGACTGTTAGTATCTCAAACCTGGCCCGACACAGACCGAAAGCCGCATTATGTCTTCGAATGTTGATCCTTTAGCCCGTTAACTAATCTTTAGAACTTAATATTGGCCAAAAACTTTTGTAACTTATAATTGAATCGAGTGCGCCCCTGTAAGACTGGATGAAGACATCTTGTCTCGGAAAGTGG